TGTATTCTTAAATTATACAGTACTTAATGGTTTATAAAATGGCATTAAATAATTGTTTTCATATTGTAAAATATTGTTGTTATCGAGTGCCGATTTATAAAATGGCATTAAATATTTGTTTTCATATTGTAAAATATTATTGCGATGGAGTGCCATTGTTTGCATTTTGCGACCTGGCCACAAAGACTTGCATAAGAGGATTTTATGAGAAGTTTCGGGAAGTATTCTGGGTTTGACAACATTCCATAGTAGTATAAATACATAGGTGACTGGTAGGCAGTCGGAGTCAGTCGATTTATATGTAGACTAGCTACAAATGACATAAATAGTGTTAAAAAAATGATATCCAGCAAGCAGTGATAGAAAATAGCGAAAATATGGTAGGAGACTTTTTCAAATCGTTTTTTTTTATATATAGATTTACTATTTATTATTGTTATTCCTATGTTAACTTTATCGTAGCTCTTACAGTCAAATTTTAATGGTTTATTTTTGATTTAAAAAATATTTTAGACTTTTTTGTCTCAATTGAAAAAAAATATCTATCTTCTTGAAACATTTCTTATTCCTTTATATATTTTACTGCTTCAATTTTCTTTAAAAAGGTTCATATATCATTTAAACGATTTGCAAATTATTCCTACAATATCGTGCTGTCAGTTGAAAGTCTTTAGAGAATAGGAGAAAGGACGATTTCGTCATTTAGCAACTTAACACGTAGGTACATTAAAGGAAGAAACTACAAAATGTAAACGGATAATTACCATTTGACACGAATTTCACCGAACTGAACAATCAGAAAGTTGTAAATGCTGACATTTTAAGAGCTTTGCTTAATAAGCAGTTATGTATCATTAACGCAAATGAAATAACATCTTAACTAATTTATTACCACTTTGTTAAACGAACAGTTTATAGCTGTTCGACAGTATTACGATAAAAAATTTCTAGCACGTTAGCTATGCTAAAAACAAAGAAATAACACCTCACGTTTTATGCTTATTTTGGGGGCTGATAAAGTGACTTTAGTAACAGATTGTTACTGAATAAAAACGTTTTATTTATCTACAATATCAACACTCCAATCCACGCAGTCAGTATTTAAATGTAAGTGACCGTTTGCAATGAAAATTCTCTTACAATTAATCGAAAAATCCCTCATAACATAAACATTACTGTCTATCTCCATAACGAAGCAATTCGACACATTAGAACAGTAAACACAGGACGAAATTTTCCCAAAAATGAGGTAATTTAAAATTGAAACCCACCCTGTGAATTTGCTTTTATAAAGTTATAGTATTTCTTTATAAATAAGCGAATTTATAAGTTCATTTTAAGATATAACTACTTCACCATATTATTTAATTTATAATTTTATATATTGGATGTAATTACTTTAATCTAATACTGAAAGTGAATTGTATAATTTAGAATGATTACTCAACAATTCAAATAATTTAATAGTATAATAACAATCTTAGGCTACCTTATTAGATAATTGAGGAACGTAGAAATGACAGGGAACCATCACAGGGTGAGTGAATACGGTATGCCGCCTCACCACCCTGCATCCCTGTGATCTTGAATCCGACTCTCGACTATTATTGATTCCACTATTTACAGTCCATTTCAATTTGTTAGAATTGTGACCTTGAAGAAATCTGCGCGAAGATAAAAAGAATACACACTAGGCGTGAGCAAGAGCTCTCGATGGGCGGTCTTAGAAGATCGGCTAGAACTGTATAGTACTAGATGAAAATGTTTAGCAATTTCTTAAAACAAAAATGTATATAAATTAACAATAGAAAACAAAGCAAAAGTTTTATAGGTGTGTAGAGCGTTAAGTTAATTCACTTATTATTATTTTTGGCTAAATATGCTTTTAAATAAAGCATATTCTTAAATTTTAACGTGGCAGTTTAAATAATTTTGCGAATGGTACTGTACACTTTTGTCTAGTTCTCGCTCGATGATTGGTGGAGAAATGAGCTCCGCAGACAAATATGATTGAATTTGGAATTATGCTACGGCGCATCCTAATAAAGGGAAGAGGCATATCTCTAACTTCTTGAAACGAACAGTAAACGGTTGCTAATTGACCTACTAACGCATTAGATAAGTAGGTGTTAGTTTGAAGTTTTAAATAAACAATTTAGATGTACCAATTTTATTTAAATATAGATATCAGGTTGATGAAACTCTACTCTTTTCATTAAAATCTATTTTTTGAGGAAATAGGATATGGTCAAACCACAACCTACCTCTAAAACACTTCTGTGAATTTCGTCAAAATGTCATATTTGTCCTCCTAGCATAAGAACCTTCAAAGTCTTATTATTCCATAGATTTTGTTTTAATGTCACTTCCTTTTTTATCCAGAGAATCATAAGCTTAAAATATATAATCGTCTATATCTTATAATTGTTGTTTTTGGAAGACGACATTCCATTGTTAATCTCGGAATAAATTACCACAAAGGTTTCTTATGTTTCCAGGAAGAGCAGAGCATGGACGTCCATCTGGCTGATGCGCTACTGAGCACGTCATTACAATGTATCAAAAGTTGACGGATAAGTTTGTTGGGAGCACATGTCGTCGTCGATTTTGTGGCAGAGATGACGGTGGCCGCAGCGGAGGTCAATTTGACTCGAGCGTAAAAGAAAAAGCCCGTTTCAGAAATCTGAAATCATCTATAAAGCAGCTGCTTCAAATGTGACATATCGTCAGGTCTGATCTTCGGCGCGCTTGATATTTAAGGGTACTTGTCTCCGGTAATGGACATGTCTTCTTTCTGTCATCCGTGGCAGACAAAAGGAGATCTGAGTACTCGATACCTTCAGGTAAGCCTTTAAAAACGCTGTCGTATTCATTATAGTTGTTATTAACGTCGCCGTCGCGTCGTCGATACACTTGTCGAACTTTTTTTTTTTACTTTAAAAAACTCCAATTGCAGACAATATCTATTACCATCAGCCGTTATTTTAGAATATTTATACATACGTTCTGTGAGTACAAAGACTACATCACTATTTTCTATGTATGAGATTGTCATCAATATATGTGAAGGTATGTCATGCAGGTACAAGACAGAGTTCAATGACAGAAATATTACTATTATTGATGACAACTTAGGAGAAAGCCAAATCGTATGAATATCAAGATTCTCTCTTGAAATTATAGTTGATAAATGTGAAGATTTTTCGATCCTCTCCATGAAGTATGCTTCAAATATAACTTTTAGGGACTGTAGAAATAATACACTAAAATCGCAGACAATGACTATCAAACATCATCATCATCATAAGGTCGACAGTCCTAAGACTGGTCGGACACATACCTCCACTCTTTCCTATCCTGAGCTAAACTACGCATTTCCCTAAAACTAGAACAGCCCACATCCTTAACTATTTGCGAACAGTAATCTAATCCAGGTCTACCTCTACCCCTCCTAATTTCCGTTTCTGCCTCTAATATGTCTCTGACTAAACCTTCATGCCTGAGAAGGTGTCCTACTAACCTATCTCGCCTATTTTTTATTGACTTCCATAGAGTCCTCTGTTCTCCTATTCTTTCCAATACCTCTTCATTTCTAACCTTTTCCACCCACGTTATCCTCATCATCTGCCTATAACACCACATTTCGAACGCTTTTAACCTTTTCTTTTCCACAACGCCCACTGTCCATGTTTCGCACCCGTACAACGCCGTGCTCCAAACATACACCTTTAACAACCTTTTTCGAATTTCTAAATTAACCGTTCGCGAGCATAGAAGTGACTTCTTTTTATTAAAGGCGACACGACCCTGCGCTATCCTCTGCTTTATATCCCTACTACTCCTTCCATCTTGACTTATCTGACTTCCTAGATATCTAAAATCAGCCACTTCTAATTTTTCGTCTCCTATCTTTATATTCGCTCTTTCCCTACATTTTCTTCCCTTGCATACCAGTATTTTAGTTTTACTTTTATTTATTTTCATACAGTACTGATCTGTCAGTACCGCTTCCATTTTATTTAAAGTCCTCCTTGCTAGATGCTAATGGACTATCAAACATAACAGAAAATATGATCGTAACAATACTCACTTCGTCTGTGTTGTCTTTTGCTACCGTAAGTTTAATATGCTAAGCATACCCATGTAAAAAGAATGTGGCCAGCACTGTAGATGTTTTTTATGTTGCAAGACTAACTTCAGTGTAATCCGATTTGGGTTTGGTCGAAAAATGAGTGATATTTCAGATATAAAACTTGATTCATGTAAATGAAACCAATAATTGAAAAATCATGCTTTAGAGAAACTTTTAATTGATTCAAAGATTGTTTAAATTATTTGCAAACCCGAGAAAATAGGTTCTTAGTAAATAAAAAAGGGTAAGAGTGTGAAAGCTTGTCGTACTGCGGAACTAACTTCAGAGATGGTTTAGTACAATCGAATTAGAATTTTGTCGAAAAATCAAAGATACTTCAGGTGTAAAAGAGACCAACAATATGGAATATCACAAATTAATAATACTTCATTGAAGCATTATTTAAATAATTATGAGAATATCAGTTTTTCATGCAAATGAAATTAAAAAGAGTATCTATCGTTTCTACAAACATTTTGCTGCAAAGTTTTACCATAAGTCACTTTTATGTTTTTAAAATAAGTAACACTTTACGATTTATTAATTTATTTATTTATTAAATTACTAAGCAAAATGCCTAGACACACATACAGGTAATACATAGAAATACTAATTTGTCTTTATAATAAGTCCTCAAAATTCAAAAATACAATCAGTGCCCTGCAATTGCACTGGATAATGAATTCCATTGTCTCTTCACTCGATGTAAGTGTGTACAATATACAATGTTATTGAGAAATTTATTATAATGTGAGGCTCAACGTGGAGATTGCCTTGTCTCCCGATAATGTGTGACCCGATAATGGGTGTTATAGAGATTATTCGAATAGGAACTGTTGAAAAGAGGTCATTGAGTTGAGTTCTGTAGTCCAACTTGGATGTGTAAATTTACTGAATATGACCGTTAATAAGCTTAATTATTAGTGATTTCGGCCTTATCCTGACAATAAATATCTAATTATAAATGATTGAATCCTTTTACTTAATGCTTTTTGGTTTTGAAATACATCGATGCAATTTTCATAAAGTTATATAAGCCACTATACAATTTTTAAATAAGGAAATTGTGTTTGTCAGGTTGCCTATTGTCGGAAAACCTCGTACCATATTCGATTAGTGAGGTTATTTTCGCAGTTGTCTGACTTAGCTTGTTTAAGTGTAAATAGTGTTGTGGAAAGTCGTATCAGTGTGTAATATGATAATTAAAGTGACTTACATTACAATTAATAATTAAGTAACTGATAAAATACTTGCAATGAAGTAAAATTGTGCGCATTAGGAAACTGAACTCCCTACAGGAAATCCAACGGTAAGTTTTATGTTCATGTACATATCATATATTATATGTGCTTTGTACACAATTCGACGCCATTTTATATTATTCCGTTCCAACCGAATGACAGAGTTATATATATTTGAACTATAAATCAATTCTATCATTGTATCAATCGAAGTACTGTGATTGTTCTTTGATTTCTTTGGTAAACATACGTGATTTCTATTGATAACGCTTATGATTTACCGTTATTTTATATCGATTATTCGCTGTTTGCATTTTTAATAGACTATGATCCGTGTAGGTTTATATCCTATTCATAAGTGTTCAATAAAGCATTCAATAGATTTTATTCACAAACGTTTAAACATTTCCAATACAATCAGTGTTAGTAAATGCTATGTTCAAAATTAATAAAGTCCCACGATTCTTAAAGTATCTTTACTTTAATTTTCTTGGAAAATTACTTCCTAAGGTACTTTGGTAAAATAAACAAACATTAGGACTTCATTCGAGACGAGAGTAGTAGAGTATCAAAAATCTCGTCTCGGTCTCGTCAACTCCCAAAAAATTAAGTCTTGGTCTCGTCTCGTCTTGGTTAATTCGAAATAACGATAATAAATATTATATAAACTAAATAATAAATAATTTATTAAACCTAATTTTATTACACTCTTATACAAAAATATTTTTACATGTACATAATTTTTTTTAATTTTACACACTCTTAATTTTATCTTTTAAATTACTGGATGACCAATAATTTAAACAAAAATAACACTTGCATCACATCATCGTTCAATGATGTATGCGTTTTTGTTATGATCATACCTGCTGTAGAAAATAATCTTTCAACAGGTACGGATGTAGACATACTGAATAAATCTTTGGCCATCCTGAAAATGTAGGAAAAACTTTTTCTTCCACTTTCCACCACTCTAAAATAGTTTTATTCCTATTTGCTCTTTCTAACAGCAACAGTTAACAAGTTGAAGTAAAAATGTGAAAAATTCATACTCGGTTATTGAATTTTTTTTAAATTTACAATAAAATATTTTACATGGTCACCAGATTTTATATTAGTTGAGGTCATAAGGTCGTCAGTCCTAAGACTGGTTGGACATGTACCTCCACTCTTTCCTATCCTGAGCTAATCTTCGCATTTCCCTAAAACTAGAACAACCTACATCCTTAACTATTTGCGAACAGTAATCTAATCTAGGCCTACCTCTACCCTTCCTAACTTCCGTTTCTGCCTCTAATATGTCTCTGGTTCCCTATGTAGACCTTTTTTAATTTTTCGAATAAAAACTTCTTAAAAAAAATTAACGAGACCAAAAACGAGACTCGGATTGTTCTGTATGTGGTCTCGGTATCGCACATATTTTCTAAAACGCGTTGTCTCGTCTCGTTTCGCTTTTCCGAGACGAGAAAGATACGAGACGAGAAAACTCTCGCTCTCGTGTGAAGCTCTAACATAACTTTTCTATTGTAGTCATCGTATCTAATAAATTGTAGCTGTATCCTGAAATTACTTTTATAAAATAATTGAAAGTATTATACCGATCAGTCCACGGTCCATGGAATTTTGGTCATCATAACTTTTAGGCATTTACCTTATTTCAGTAGTGACTTGGTTGTAGGTGAGTCGTAACTAGTGGTGACAGTCACACCCAGCCAGAACCAAGCCATAATTGAAGATATCATCAGTAATGAACAGCGAAACGTCTTAATCAACTGTAAAAGCCTATGAATAGTATGTTTCAATGTTATTATAACCATATTACATTGAAAGGTGTAAATGCTTCAAAACTGTAATGAAAAACAATTATTTTACTTTTTGCATTTCCGAAAAAGAAAACGTGGGTATAATCATCATCATAGGGCCGTCAGTCCTAAGATTAGTTGGACACGCACTTTTCATATTCTGAGCTTCTTCTTTAAAACTCGAACATCCCACATCCCTAACTGTAATCCAATTTGGGTATAAAATACTAAATAATTTATCTAAAATATAGGTTTATGACCGTCACAGCACTACGTAAATTAAGAATTTCTCCCTTCTCCAGATATATGTTTTGAAATAACATCATCATTTTGTAGGTCTTATATGTTTTTCTATTAGATTTATAGATTAGCTCACTGTTAAACGTCGTTCACTATCTTTCCTCCCTTATTTTCGCGCGTCCTTATGGAGAAGAAAGCAATACAGTACCTTACGCATTATAGAATTCCATTCTTCTTTCTCTTTATGCAAAAATTTCTCTATCATTTTTTTCGCTCTGTATGCTAATTTACAAACTGTACATCCTTTTAAACACTGTCAGTTACCAATATTTTCTTACTGTTATAAAACGGCTACTCAAACTGATGCTGTCCTGATTCGAATCTACAGGTCCAACTCCAACCGACGACGACCTGCAGACCCGAATCACCGAGCGGCATGGCCTAGATGTCTAGACCATTGCTTAGCATTCGGGAGGACGCCGGTTCGATTCCGGGTCCGTCTGCCTTCGTCCAAGTTTTTCTGTGGTTTCCTTGGATCACTTAGGCAAATGCTGAGGCAGTAATATTCTTCTATCTTCATTTCGTCCGTCTCATCTTTCTCACCCGAACCACCACCCACCCATTCCCACGATTCCTTAAAGCAGGCTGAAGAGGGCCTTCAGCCCTACCTTCCGGCATAATCTGGAGGGACTGCCCGACCACCAGCATTACTGGCTGGTGGGAATGAAACACACAAAAGTTTTTTAGACCCGAATCAGGACGGCATCAATTTACGCGAAATCCTTTACTAACGGCTTCTCTACTTTCGAATGTTGGAAGTGTAGGTATAGAAGATAAAATGATTTCAAAGTGAAAAAGATCTTATAGTGCAATCGTCACTTGTACCATTTTGTACTTTTATATATAATGTCGTAGCCTCTAACAACACTTAGATACCGACGACCTAGGTCGTGATATGTGGCCGCTTCACACCAGTAATTTCCATATTGAAAGTGCCCGATGTGGAATTCTGATTTATGGGCTCAATATATTGTTTCGATTCCCGAAGCATATAAAGTTTCGCAACGCGTAATTAGGTTTCCTTGATCTACGACAGCTCACGTCTGTGTAATTGTCGTTAATTGGTGCCGTGCCTGCTAGATGACGCCCTTGTCGACGAGAAAGGGTGCACACTGCGATCCTTATCGTTTTTAACTGCTTGTGTAATTGCTGCACTAAAAGTCCCATAAGTAATGAATGATTGCTATTTAACCTCCTGTTTTGCATTCCAGTTTTTATTAATTTTATTAACCGCGCGCACTGTAATTACATTAAATGAACGACAAAGTGCATTAAGCGAACGCATTTCTGACAAATATGTGAATTTATTGCAGTTATACAAGTACACAAAAACAAGGTCAACTAAGTAAGTATTTTCTAGTAGGTACCTAATGCTTTTATAAAATTTTATTACGATAACGTTTTTGATAAAATTTTAATAGTTTACCTTTGCACATAATTGGAAAATAGTCTGTTATATAATGTGACAAAAACAGTAATTGAATTTAAGGATAAATACACATATTTTAAGTGGATCCTGATCCTAACGGATTCCGCAGACTGATTCTTCATTCAAAAACTAGATAATTCTAATGTCTCCCTTACACGGTGCGTAGATCGCCGATCCACGCTGCGTGTTATGGATTCGGCACGCCCTGAAGCGGGATGGCGCGTCCTAGCGCGTTATCTGGCTTCTTTCCACGGCGCCAGCAGGCGCATGGAATGTCGATCCACGATCCATATAACGAAATCGATGCGACATGGGGTGCAAAGGAAGTTGAACATACGTTTTAGGCATGAATCAAAGAGAAAAATTTTCCTCTTCAACTTAATAAATAATTAACTCTGCTGACTTCGCCTTCTTAAGTTGCTCTAGGAAAGTGTAGTGCGGTTTGAAAACTGGTGTTGCGATAATAGAGAAGTTTCTTCACAAAAAAAATTTGGTTCTATCCTCGTCTGACATTTTAGTGTGGATGATATTTATGCCTATTTACCTCGTTTATTAAAACGTCACCATCGTTGTCATTATGGTAGGATGACTGCGGCAATTGATGTATCAGCAGACTTCATTCAGAGTTTTCGAACGTGTTCCTTTCCTTTAAAAGATGACCTTGTTGAGCGTTATTAACTTCCATAATTAGTGATAAATTTCACCATCTTCACTCTTTGTATTTATCCATTGAAGTTTTTCCAGTTATGTAATAGAAAAACTGAGAATTTCTCTACCACAATCTACATCAGCTTGAAATATCACGAAGACGAGATTAATGTATACATTATGCGTAAATTATGTCAGTCCGCACTTGCGTAAACGGAATGCAGACATTTACAGAAGAAGGCAAACCGTGTCATCATAAGTAAATATGCACGGGTGTCGTTGGTTAAACGTGCTCCAGTTTTCTTCCGTCACATAGATAGTACTTGAAAGGAGTTAAACGATACTAGGAACTGAAAATTTATTACTAAAGCACTAAATAAGCGATCACGAGGCACCATTTTGAAAGGAGAATAAATCGCCCTTTTTTTCCATACATGTTAATAATATCAGCGAGATCGTGGATTTGCTATAGTAAACAGCTTTCACAAGAGGTGTTCGAACTTACCTACGGAAATGCACTTGCAGCTATAAATACATGGGCACATAATATTTATGCATATGTCGCAGTGTGAACGCAATGAAGGAATTAGGTCAAAATACTTATTAATGTAAACAAGCTATAATTACTTCGGTAAATAGTACGGTACTGATTGCGAAACGATTAACGAACTGACTGACTTCTTAATAAAGGCGGTAGCATTAAATATAAATTTTTCTACTGTTGTATTAAATACAAAATTCTTCGTAAAGTGTTTGTCACATGATTATGAAAATTGTATTTAATTATGAACCAGTTAAGGCGTGTTGTACATTATAATTGCATATAATTATATTTTTTGCTTTCAGTAGGTAGATTAATGTAAAGTGCAACGTATTTTAAAACGTCTGT